CAAGAGATGTATTATTATTATTATTATTATTACTATTATTATTATTATTATTATTATGCTATATTTTTTTGGCGGAATATTCTCCTAAAAGGAAAGCAGGCCCACCACGAAATTGCTTTCTGCCGTTTGATCATAATCCAATCGTTCCACCATGGACTAAACCGCCTAATGGGACGTAGAACCCCGATATCTCAGCCGGAAAATTTATGAACGGCTGTTTCTCTATGCAAAGAGACTATCTCCGTGGAGGAATGCTCAACGAAACGCCGAATACATCGTCCGCTACTATAAAATTAATGCAGTTTTTGCTCTTTAAATGATGTAACGCGTACGCATTATCTGTAATGCGTAATGTCACCGTCGAGAATCTAAATAGGCGATATGTTGAATGAACGACTAATTAGAGTGTGATGAGACATATTATATAATATATATATATTATTTCTAATGAATATATAGTAATGATAATATAGCAAGTCTTAAAAAATATTTATAAATTATATAAATATATTCAATGGTTACAAAAAGTTATATACTATTCTACTTTTTACGTTAATTAATTAAATTCAATTAAATTTTGAATTAATTAATATATCTACAAAAAATTCATATAACTACAAAAAATTGAAATTCTAAAAATGAAATGTAGAATCTAATATTTCGTTAAAAAAAAAGAATTATGTATATTAGATTATTTATGAATTAGTCTTTTTTAGATGTTTGAATGTAATAAACGAATAGTATCTTTTACATTTCATTATTATTTATTGGTATTGTAATATTTGTATAATAATATATAATTAATTATATATTATTAACAATAATTAAATAATATATAAATCAAATATGACATAAATATTATAATGAAACTATACAGTGATATTAAAAAAATATTTTTCTGTAATATATACATATATATATAATAAAGTATAATAAACTATATAATAAAAATATAATAAAAATATAATAAAAACATAATGTATTATATTAAGATATTAAAGTAATCAAATAATATTTAAAATTTTGAAAAAAAGCAATAAAATATATTAAATTTATTGGTTTAATTCATTTCTTGATTTATTTTTAAAAATAAAATTTTAGTTATTTTATTAAAAATATATTTCCATTATGAGAAAAAAATTTTTATAAAAAATTATGTTTCAAACAATGTTGAGAAATACTGTTAAAAACTAAAATAAAAATAAAAATCGAATTCATAACTTATATATAAAAAAAAACAATGGGAAAATAAAATCGGTAACGAGATCTATGCTTCTTTAACATAAACCTTTGAATACGAGAAACTCTTTTTAGCAATTCCTATTCATATAAGATTTTCTTAAGTTTAACGAAGACAAAGTTATCAGCTGAAGAAGGCTTTAAAAATCTCCCGTATCTAATTGTTTCAGTTAACATTTATCGCATTGATATGCTCATTTTTTATGGATGTACTCATTATCTGCGTGTAACAACGCGCAATAGCCAAGTTCGTTCTCGCTCCGTTACTTCTAAAATAGGTAAGCAGCATCAAGGTTCCCAAGCAAAAAATGGTAATAAAATTACATAACATCCCCGAGGTTCCTTCCATTAAGGCTTGATATAAATATACAATATCATAGCAATCATCAAGATGGATGATACCTTTGTATCTAATTACAGAATTGTTCGATTGTGTTTCTTATTAGAAATATAAAATTATTAGAAATCGAATTACAAACAAAAGAATATTTATTGAAACACTTAAAATGTTAATTAAAATTACAAAATTATAAAAAGAGTTGGACATTAAATATGCCAATAAGAGTTAAAATACTATATAAAAAGTTGAAAATTATATTATATATTAAATACTATATTATATGATTTTCTATGTAATAGAATTTAATAATAATTTAAAAATAATGCCAATAATTACATAATGATTTATTTATTTAAGTTGATAAATAAATAAAATTAAAAAATTATCTGAATTTTTAAATAAATAATATTTTTAACCAATTTTATGATATGAATACTTTTTAATATAATATTTTGTTGTTTATCTGTTCCATGTTTATGAAAAGAGAAATTTCCAATTCATTAATTTAATTAAAATTATTATATTTTGTTACTATATTTACAAAACTTCAAATATTCAATGTATTTTTCGAAATATTTTTAAAGTTTTATTTTCATAAAATTTTAAAATAAAGACCCTAAATATATTGGGTTGAACAAATATCATAATGATATAATCACAATGATATATTGAATTTATATGAGTTACTGCAATATTTTAGTCAGAAATATTTTAAAAAATATTATACATTTAATTCTATAATATTTTAAATAGAATGAAGAAATTAATAACGAAAAATCAAATCAATAATATTTATTAAAAATCTTCATGTTCACAAAATTTCATGAATGTTTTATTTTTCGAAGATTTTTTGTATGTGTATTTTTTGATTTTGTGTAATGTGTTTTTTTGTGGCTGACACCATAGATTTAATTGTAAAGCCAATAATAAAATCCGTACAATAACTCGATCTTCGAAAATATTAAATTCGCCAGGGATGGATACATACATACATACATATATATACATATATATATATAATAGATAATAGATATTACAAATTTTATTATATATATGAATGTATGTGAATTAAATTAATTCTAACAAAAAGTAAAAAAAATATTTAAAATATTTAAAAATGTCTTAATAATCTTTATCGAATTATTGCCTCTTTTAACGTTAAATTCAAATATTCAATATAAATATTCAATATTTTTGAGATAATATATGAAAAATTTTTTTTTATCAATTAAATACTAACTGGAATCATATTTTTCTTATATTTATCATATATTATTAAAAAGATTAGCACTAAATCTCTTTTTTAAATTTAAAAACAAATATTAAAATATTCTTTAAAATTACATGACTTATAATGCGTTATAAAATGATAATAGCAACATTATGCGTTTGCTAACTGATTATGTCTTAGATAAGATAGTTGGATATTATCTTGTATTCTCTTGTAGATCAACGTAATATCAATTTAATGTAATAAGTAATATTTACTCTAAGTAATAGAGTAGAATATCTTTTCCTTACATACTATTTTATAAAATTTTATAAAAATAAATCACTTTCAAGCATAAGTCTTAAATTTCTAAATAATCATTATGTTATAATAGGAAGACAGAAAATTGCAATGAAAAATTCAAACAACAATGAAACAGACTCTTATATTCACCTTCGCATCGTTTCTCAACACAATAATGGCATCATGATTTTATATATCCACATCAAAAACAGTCTCTTATATAATAACCATCCATATCGACATGTTGGTTTTTAACACATTCGAGCAATATTGCAAGTGTTAAAATATCTATCCTGGAAATTTCCAATGAAAAAAATGAGAATTTTTAATTATAATAAATATAATTAAATTAGCTATAATATATAACATAAAATTGTGCAAATCAAGATTTTTTTTATTTTTTTTGACTTTTAATTCCAAAATAAATCCTCATGATCGTAGAAAAAAAATTATTATCTCTTCTAATATATAAAATTTATTAAAAATACTATAAAAATATTAATTTTTAAAATATAAAATACTATGCTAGAGATATATGAGACATATAAAAATCTTATATCAAATTAAATTAATATAATATATAATATAAATTAATATAATATATATAAATAAAATTAACAATAAATAAATAAAT